TTTTTTTTTTTTTTTCTTTTTGCTGATGTTGTTGTGCATTTTATCGGTCTCATGACGTTTGACACATTAAGACCTCTTTTTGCTACCTTGATGCTTTCAGCTCTTTTAATCCAGGAATCTGTTCTCTTGAAGTTACTTTATTGTTTTGTTTCGCATATTTCGATATTACTTGTTCCTCACAGTTTAATGATCCTCATTGGTGTTTCTTTAATTTTGTTTATTAATATTTGGTATCTTATTTACAGTTGTTGTTTGCTTATGTACATAGATTCATAATAAATGCCTTTTAATCTTTTTGGCCAGCAGATTATGTCAACCATTAGGTAGCCAGGTTTTTCGGGCTTCATTTGGAGGGTGGCGGTGGGTTTTAATAATGTAGTGTTGCAGAGATGTATGACAGGTTGAAGTTTTTAGATCATCCGAAAGAGGACCAGGATCGTGTCGAGAAGAGTGATTTGTCGAAGGATAAGGTAATTTCAGCTAAGTTGGGGTTGAAAAAGTGGCTTTTTTCTCTTTAGCATGTGTGTGGTTTAGCTTTCGTTATTTGGAGGCTCTCGTACGTTTGTCTTTTGTTAAAATGCGTATTTTTCAGAAACCGCTAACATCTATACCTTCTAATTCTGGTGCACAAAGTGTTGGTGCTGTTAACCGATTGCCTGGCGCAAATAATGCAAAAGGTGAGGGTTAATTTATTCTTCCTAAGTGCCATTAGAAAGGAGTTATCGATATGAAGCTTAAATTTAATCACACTTTTGGGTGCTACTCTACTCTTTAATGTGACACAGTTGTCTGTCTTTTGCCTGTAGTCCTTTCATTCAGAAGATAAGCCAGGAACAGCTGCTTCGGTATCTCATGTACATTGTAGCTCAGCTCCATTGCTTAGCTCTCAAGCACAGTCTCAATCTCATAATGTCGGAGGCTCAATTTTGGATCAGCTCCTTCCAGCAAAACAAAATGGTTTGAATTTGATTGATTTTTTCATTTTTGCTCGCCAAATTCTATCTTTTCGCTTTTCAGCAACTGAAAACGATGACAGTAAAGGAGTAGTGAAGAATATGGGTGGTTGGGATAATCTGGCTAAGAAGAGTCAGTGTGCAGCCCTAAAAGTTGATGCTACAGCGCAGTTTGAATTATTCCGCAAGCAAGCGAAACAAAAGGAAGATAGAGTAAGTGGAGAGCACCATCAGAGTACAGCATTTATTTGCCATCTTATTTCATTTCATTCGCACGTTTTATATTTCTTTGGGGGTATTTCGACTAGTTGTGATTTAAGGGTGATGACAAGTTGTAAGTGTTTTTTAAGTCACTATCGCCTGCTATAATTTAGCGAAGGCAGCTGAAGGATGAAGAAGAAAAACGAAGGAAAATTAAAGAGCAAGAAGAACGAGATCGTAGGGAACAGTCTAACACTGCTGATAACTCGTCGCTTGATGACGAGCGTCTGATGCGTCAGAGAGAGCAGGTTTATTTTAGCTAGTTTCGGTGCAGAGAGTTGAGATTTGGTTTGCTTGGAGGTGGTTTTATTACGGAGTTGTGATTGTAGGAACGCCGAAGACGGGAAGCCTTGAGTGGTGCGTCAGACGTGACCAGCCAGATGGATTTGATGATGAATTTTGAAGCAAATTTCTAGAGGTTAAAACAGTGGCTTAGTCGGTACTTTAGAACTCAAGTCGATGCGGACTTACAATCGTAATTTTCAGTCACCTCACTTTGGATTACAGTTGATTTTTTATTATTGGCTTCCTTTGTAAGAAGCGTTTATATGGTACTCTTCGTTTTGTGATTTATTTCTGTCTCAACTTGAAGTTGCTCTGAAGGTTTTGGTCGCATAGAATTAACGACCATTTTAAGGTGCTTTTCACGTTCGGGTTTAAAAGCAATGATTCTTACGCGAGAGCAGCTTCTTATCATCCACGGGTATACTGTAAGGAACATTACTTTTTAAGGTTTCTTCCTCATTGTTTTCTTTTTATTGTTATTTAAGTGGAACATCATATCTTTTTAAGGTGTTGCTATTGTCTTTGTTTCTTGCTTTTTTTTTTTTTTTTCGTTAATCCATCATCAATTTTAGTTGTTTTGATGAACTTATAAATATTGTAAATTTTTTACGGCGACACGTAAGTGCTTTGATTTTGAAGTGTTTCCAAATATGTTTTGCGATTTGTTAGCAGGCTTGTGTTAGGTTTATATTTCAAGCTTAAAGTCGACTGACATCTTTCAATTTTATCCGGCTTTCATTGAAACTGACAGTATACGATCTTTGCAAAGAGCGGGATAGATCGCTGTTGAGGAAATACAGCTCCATCCTTTGTACTGGTAAAATCCAGGAATACTTTTTCTGAGTCGGGAAGGGCTCTAGTCGAACAGTGGTTTCCGTCAACAGTTTGAAAAGCGTTACGTATACATTGATATGCTCATGTCGGAAACCAATGAGTTACCTCGTTAAAGAGTGTTATTGTTGCATTTCCTGTCATGCGATCGTTTGTGAGTTCCATTCTTTTTTCTTTTGAATCCATATTTCGTTGTTGATAATGCCGTTACCGTTTATTAAAAGTTTGCTCATTTCTAAGGATGTTTTTACTACTGTCTGACTTTGGTTCGATATTTATTGCGTGGATAATGAGTTGTAGTTGAGTACTCCAGGACAGAAGGCATTTGTACGTTAGTTGTAAGTGGTCGCTGCACATTTTCACGTCTTTCTCTGGTTATGGTTTCGGAGGGACAGTCGAGGGTGGGGGGGTAGAAACATAGAACGCTGTGCTTGCACATTTAATGGAGAAGAGTAGTGGTTCATAATCAACTACATGAGCTCGAGGGTGACCAAACGACAGTCGTTATCGAGCTTCCTAGGGATTTCACTACTTGAAGTCAGACGAGTGAAGCTTGGCAGAATTAGAGAGATGGCAGATGCCTCCTGTTCAGACTTAGAAAGTATTTTCTAGCGGTAGATAAATGGTATTGGAGAGGAGTGCTTTTGCTGATATAAAATTGCCACGTTCGTGTTCAATCAATATCCGAACTAGTTCCCTTCATTTCATCCGAGAGTCGCTCAGTGAGGAGTATCCTCGGAGGTTGGTACGTGGGCTTACCTCGCAGTGTTTCAACGTCGCATTGTAAAACAGAAGGTAAGGAGTTGGAGATGGGGTCACCGTTTATCCTATTACTTCAACTACTTAAGCTTTTGGACGATCAAGGCTATCGTTTGTATGAAGGGTTGTCTGGCCTGCTTAGGATCCTTGTGCAACAAAAATTTTGAGTGACTGTGAGGTTCTGAAATGACAAACCGATGCAGAGGGCTAGATGGGCATCCAGTCCTCTTAGAATCCTTTCGGTCATTCTAGACGACTTTGGCAGTTGTTGTAGAAGCCCTGCGAGTTGAAGGTCGCGTAGCTAGGGTCAATCCTCTTGATTGATAACGGATTAGCAGAAATTATCAGCAGCTGGGGAAATGTATCCCAAAAAGCAGAGGAGTGACAGTTTTTCCAGCGAAAGTTGCGCTGCATGCACCTCTGTTGCATTTTTTTTTGGACAGCTGTAGTCTCAGCTGGAGGCGTTTCGAGTTGCAGTGTTGATGTCAGCATAGAATGGCTTGGAAAACCGATTTGTGAAAAAACTACGGGGATGAATTGCTTTGATTTTTTTGCTTAAAGTTAATTCTTGACGAAAACATTTAAAATACTGGTGTCATAGTGATTCATGGTGTCTGCTAACAAGGATACTTTTTTTCATGGCAGCCTGCCTCTATATTTTACGTGTGATGTTTTTGAGTCCGCTATTTCCACTTCAAGAGTATTCGCGAAATTTCGTATACTGGTTGAGCGTTTGGTAGCTTTGTGAAAAAGGAGCTTTTATTCACCCCATAAAAACTTTTGCGACTGGGTTTGAATGTTCTACTCGTTTATTTCACATTTTAAGTTAACAAGTTCCGTTCGAAAGGGATAAGGTTTTAGAAGCGTAGTTTACTTTTTTAGGTGGACTAGAAGTGGTAATGAAACATTTGAATTCTTAAGGAGGCTGCTTGGGCGTATGTGTAGGTTTTAGTTTTTGTATTCAAAAAACTACTTTCAAGAGACTGAATTTTTAATCATTAAGTCGCACTCTGGTGTTAAAGCATATGGAACATCATTAAATACGATGAGCAGCAATTTAAGATTATGTATCTAGAACTAAATAGACAGCGCATAGTTACTGGTAAGTATCGTAGCCGAACAGGTTGGAGTTGAGAACTATATACACAAAACGCGTAGGTGGAGCATGGGAGAGAGAGAAGTAACACTTAATTTCAGGGCAGGACAAAAGCGCAACAGCGTCGTAGATTTTCAGTACGTCAGAAAGAAGTAGGCAGAAAAGTATGAAATAGTCACAGAGGTCATAATATGGCAGCGTTAAGAGCTTCATATGTGAGAAGTGAACGTTACGTTAACAGTGGAGAAGAAAGCATTCTAGAAGCTAAAGTATGTTCAATTTTTTTGCAGAAATTTTGGAACTTTCATAGTCGATGAGTGCATGCACTAAGTACAATGTAGTGAAACTCCAAGAAAAAAGGATCTTTTATAGGCATATTTAAAACATGTATATTACCCTTAAAAAATGGTATATTTATAAAAATTTTGAAGAAAAAGCGTAAAACGCAGTTTTCCCATCAACAAACTTATTGTGCCTCTGTGCATTGTACGCAAGGAAGAAAGTAGAAAGCGTTTTAAAAGACCGACTGAGATCACACTGTAAGGAGTCGATGGGTTGTCTCGAAAAGTTTAGGGTTGAAGAGGACTGTATGCGTAGAAGTTAGAAGAAAAAAGAAGTGGTGGCGCTGCCGAACCCTTTCAAATTTGGATCATTACATGTTTTGCCTGTCAGGCTGACTGAAATAGACTGACGTCATTTTTTTCTAAGCAGACAAAACTGCTGAAACTGTTCATTAGAATGACACCTCATTTGGTTTGTTATTGGTTTTTCGCATTGAAGTCAACGGTCCCGAGAGCTGGTTAGCATTTATGAGATAAAGCAGCGGCAACAGTACAGGGTTGAGTTCGGCAATGCTGCTGTCGAACTTGCCTTTTCTAAATTATGCTTTTTTGGTCGTCATTCTAACTTCATTTTCCGTACGCAGACTTCATGACACCGCATAATTCATCAGTGGTAATTTTAAATTTGTCCATTTAGGCTTTTGATAATTTCTTAAGGGTCTATAACGAGAAAGTCGCTTCAATCCTTTTCGGTTCCGCAACTTCGACTTGATGCGAGCGGATAATTCAGTGGGTAGAACTGGCATTTTATAACCTCGACCGTAGGGATCTGGAAGGTTCGAAACCATTTCTGTGCAGTTCTTACACTCAGGGCTCTCACATTTCTTGACCGATCTCTGTTTCGCTTTGAAATGTCGGCTTAATCACAATGTTTTAATTTTGTACATAGCGCTTGATAAGTGGGATTATGCGCGTCTGTGTTCTGGGGGGTCTGCTTTTACTACTTTGTAAACCTCTAGCTGCTTCTCAGAATGATCGAGGTAAAAAGAAAAATTTGAGGTGTAGGATCTTAATGGCTAAACTTCCTAACTAACATATCTTTCTTTTAGCTATTTTCTGTTTCATACTACCTCATTTTAGCTGTTGTGCATCTTTTATAGTATGTGACCCTCTCTTCATTTTTACTGAAGGTTTTCTCCTCAAGTTTACTTGTGTGTTTTGGCCACTTCTGTAAATAAAGAAACAAGAAGCAAATAAGGGAGGTTTATAAAATAGTAAAAAGCAGACTCCTATACGTAGACTCGCTTAGTGCCATTTGTCGAATCCTTCGTACTCAACGGAAACACTGTGATTAAATAAAAAGTTTTGGACAAAACAGAATGAGCAAGAAACTTGAGAATTGTGATTGTGGAAATACTGCGACGGATTCGGAATTTTCAAATGTGGAAGATCACGGTTACGAAATACCTGCTCTACCCGTTACACCATCCGCTGGCATAAAGGCAACGTTGTAAAATCGCAAAAAGATTAAAGCGACTTTCCATTATTGGACGGTTAGAAAGTTATTGAAAGCCTTCATAAATAAATCTGAAACCATCGCATATTAATTAAGGTGTCGAGAATTCTGTGTTAAAAAAAATGAAGTTAGGTTGATGATCAAAATAAGCATTATTGAGGATGAGCACCTCTAACTAGAATAGCGCCGTTTAACTGGTAATTAAGAAGGAGCGAACGACAGTGATCAGAAAGTTGAATTTTTTGGAATTCCATAGGATCGCAGTAAAAACTTCTGGTAACTGGTTTTCCTAAAGGCTTGCATGTTTTTGTCACTGTATATTCGTTTAATACTTTTTTGACGTCATATTCGTTTAATACTTTTTTGCAGAAGAAAAATTAGTCAGACGAAGTCCGTTAAAGAATTTTGATTAAAGTTTTTACGACAGATTTGATCAAAAAAAGAAAGATATTATTGCAGTAGAATAATTACGTGTCACAGTGAGCAGGAGTCACTGTTGCATTGTATTCGGAGAGCAGAGTAGTTTTGTTCGAGGGAGGCTGTCGCGTTTTGTCCACTCGGACTAAGCGCAAAATTACCTGAGTGCAGACGGCCGTTGGCTGTGAAAAACATGCAGTTGTGTAGAATCGGTCCTGTACAGCTGAAGTGCGCATTACTCGCCATTGAGTGCTCAAGAAATCCATCGGTGATCATATGTATTTTATTGTATATAATTTTTCAGCGGCAAATGGACGCTACTGAGTCTTGTGTATTTTAATTTTAACGATTGTTACATTAACAAGGAGGAGGTGCAGTTGTTTTGCGCTGAGTTTTTTTACACTGAAAAGATAACAATCAAGGATGAAAGGTCTAGCAAAGATAGCATCAACGACTAAGTGTAAAGTTTCAAGCTCAACTATAGATGAGGAGTAGCAGATGACTAGTTAGTTGTGTACTAACTAGCTCTTTCAAAAACACGGCTTGTTTAGCACTGTGATTCTTAGCGTGGACGGTGGAAAGTGCAAGGGGAAATGGCACGGCGGCTCTGCATGCCGTAAAAGGCGAAGAAGCTTTCAGTGACGCTTAATCAAATCTGGATTTTAGGGTCGTTCAAAAAGTCGTAGTGAAGTCTATGACTTAATTATGCTTCATATAAATAGGGAGATGGACAGTAAGAGGTGGAAGGAGGATGACCTAGCTGAAAATAAAATATCTCTTTTAAAAAAGGGCACGATGTACTTTAAAAAGATTAATAAACAATTTTTTAACAGAACGAAATAAACTACTGAAAAGGATTATCACATAACCAAGACTGATCTATCACAGCAGTAGCTTGGACTCTTCTTCTGTCTATTTTTCAAAAGCCTGTATTTTTTTATCAGATACTGCGCGAAAAGAAAAAAGATTCAACAAGTAACAGCGAAACAAAAGAAGCATTCTCATTTATCGGAAATTCTCGGCTACTAAGTCCACCATCGCATTTAGGGCTATTAAAATAGCAGCAAATGATTTAACGTTTTTAGACAACGTTTACAGAAAACTCATTTTTACTCAAGCTTTTTTTCACGAATGTCAAGCTGCCACAAAAAGATTTCTTTCCAGTAATGGTTAGAACAGAAACTTCTTTAACAAAGATAAGCAGATAAGCAAACTAGTCTTTCTAGGAAAAGTTTGTAAAAAACGAAGTTTACAATAACTGTGAATTTAAAAATGACCGCTGCGCAGTGTTAAATGAAAGGAAAAGTCATTTCATCCAAAATCTTAAGGTTCCAATCAAAAAAAACCGAAAATTTTTGGTTTAAGCTGAAAAAAACTCGTCATTCCGAACATGGAGAGATTCGAACTCTGTACAAAAGTTTTATTGAAAATTTTCTGCTTTTCCCAGCATTTTTACGAAAACTGCAGCATAGGCCACTCAACCCTCCATACTGCCAAATACTTTTCTTGATTTCTTATAGGTCTTTTCTTTATTAACGTCTAAAAGTCGGTTCCACTTAATCTTGAAGGAATTATTCAAAAATAGTTGGCTTTAATATTTTTGAGATGCAGACATATATAAAAAAAATCTAACTCCAGTAATTGGGTTGAAGCTGAATTTAATTCTAATTGTAGGCCCAACATTAAACTTCAGCCTACTGTGCGAATTTTCCTGTGGAAAATGAACCTAGCGATTGTTCGCAAAAAAGTACTTGTTGCGTTCATTCCTTATATATTTCTGTGATGAAACAAGAATGCTCCAAAACTCGCGACTATTGTAGTAGATCAAATAATGCTTAGGAAACACAAAAATGGTTTTTCTGTTTGTAAAATTACAGTTGTGCTAAACGAACTCACGCTTACTGGTGGTTGTTGTATGCTCGCATCTAAAAAAATAGTTGGAAAAGAAACTGAGCAAGCCAAAGTCACAAAGGTGGTTATACGCTAATAAATGGATTTCAGCAGCATAAATAAATAATTGCTTTTCAGGTGCGATTAAAGACAAAAGAAATGTTTGTAGTTTCGATGAATACCTGACCAAAAAGGTTACCAAAAAGGGTACAGCGCTTTTGAAAACCCAACAAGAAGACGAAAATAATCTAAAAGCACGCAAAGTTGGTGGAGCTTTGCAATTTCGAGACTGCCGGTGTCCAAGCTTTAGGTGTGTATGGCAAAGAACACTGCGACGTGGTACACACATAATACAGTTTAGTACCCTATTAACCTGCATGTATATAATTAATTCTAAATAATATCCTCTCCGGATTGTTCGTTACAACAATCATCGCTGGAGAAATCAATATTATAAATAAGACTTCAACGCTTCTGATGCTGTCAGCAACAGTTGGTTTTTGGTCATCTGAAACTACACTTTTGGAGCTGTGTAAACTGAAGGTAAGCTAAAGCAGTCGAGAAAAAAGAACGAAGAACCGAACAAAGGCTTGGCCAGAGTCTCAAGAACACTGGGTGCTGCAAAGTTAATGTAAGTGATGACTAGTTATGATCTGCTATCCTCAGTTTATTATCATAGATTTTTTGCCTGCAGCCTTCTGTAACAAATTGAAAAGGTTGAAAAATTATAGAATTAAAAGTTTGAGAAGCCAATAATCGGGTTGTTGGTCCACACTCACTGCTTATGCAGTCGATTTTACTAGTTGCTTGCACAGTTTGCAAAATAAAAAGGTTAAGATGCGTAAGCGTTTAGAAAACCTCACTTAAATCAACTACCCTTTACTGGCTCGTTCTTTTAATTTTAGAAAGCGCTAAAGACCACCATTTACTTACAATATAATTTTTCTTTTCATTGAAAATTTTCTCCCAGACTGCTGGAGAGGGGCGAGTCTTTACTCAATAGCCCTACTTTCAGCTCGAAAAATGACTTTTTGGAAATAGAGGCCTTTTACAATTTTGAGCCATAAAATACATTTGCCAGTTGGCAGTTCA